ACTTTTCCATTTGTAGTATTGTGAAAACCCCTTTTTATTTTTTTTTTTTTTTTTTTTTTTTTTTTTTATGGAGAGTGTCAACTACTGTCTGCTGGACAACAGACAAGTCATCAGTCTAGCAGTGTGGGCAATAAAGTTTTTGTAATAAATAATTTTCTTCATGTAATATTATTCAAGCTAGAATTTGTTTAACTGTAGGCTATTACAACTTAAATCTACCAAAATTAACTTGAACTATTTTTGAACTATTTTGTGAGCCATCAGTGATGATACTGAATGCTAATTCAACAGAATTCCTACACACACTTTTTGAACACACACTGTGTGATGCCAATGTGGCATTTCATTAACAAATATTATTTGTATTTGTATTGTCATCTTCAGAAACAACTGAACGTGTCATTTTGACTGCAAACATTAACTTTAAACAAACATTTCATAAAACTATATTTACTGGATTTTCTTTGTTCTTCCTCATTCCGGTATGTGGTATTTCATGTGTTTAGCCATAACAATAACTGCTCAAACACAGCATGATAAAGGCTGCCTAGAGTAGTTGCATCCCTCCTTCCCATAAACAACACTGTAACATAATACCTTGGTTTTACTCCAGTTTGAAACATGGGAAACACTCCCATCAATGCAATAAAACGGTGTAATCTGCTGAGGAGCCTCTAATGTCCCGTCACGTGCATTCATTCAGAATTTGATAGTCATTGTGACACTCAGTTGCTTGTTGCAACTTGTTGATTAAACCTCTGTTTTACTTTCCATTCAAACATCATACTGCATATATTTGAAAAAGGTTTAAAAATATTATTTTTTTTATTCAACTTTGTATATGGATTGAACGTTCTATTTAAAGAAAACAACTATAGCAGAATTATTTTACTGGATACTGTATTTACCTCTGTTGTTTTGGTGCTTTAGTCATCTTTCTGTTAGTCATTTGTGGTAAAATAAATAAATAAATAAATAAATAAATAAATAAATAAATAAAGTCTTAAGTTTACCTTTACCTTTCCAATCCAGCCTCTGCTCTGCTCTATTCTGCTCTATGGCTTGCTACTCTGCAGGCACTGGATGCTTTTAGATTATAGAACCGTGATCCTTACATTGTGCCACTGTGTCTTTGACAGCACGTTATGAAGGTTACTCTTTTTTTGTAAAGAAAACAGATCAACGTGTACAGCTGCTGCATATCAAGTTTCACCATTTCCAGCACGGATGTCACGTTCCTCCTGTATGCATAACAATACCACCGGAGAAGCAGAGTCAGCATGACTGCGCACATTTAGGGACTCGTCCTCTCGTTAACTTAAGGTTTAATCTAATTTTCTTTTCTTTTTTACTATTTGTTTTAATACTTAATTAAGATGAAATCTCGGTCCAAAATGTTTACAGATATGCACGTTCATTCTTGCAGTATGACCGGGCAGTACAAAGGGCATTCTTATCTTCAGTGATCTACAGCACCACCATGTGGTTAAAATAAGTCTTACAGCCTAAAACAATAATTGGAATATTATTTACCTAGTAAAAAAAAAAAAAAAGCAGAGAGACGCCTAACAAGCAGGTTTATATGTTGTGAATTATTGTGTCCCGGTAGTTTTCATTAAGCAAGCTGAGCTCTCTCCTGTCACTAAACAGTAACAGACGTCAGAAACCCTGAGCAATATGGCCGCTGTCATGGTGCATTTTAACAAGAGCATGTGCCTTCCCTGTTCACGCGAGATCGCGTTGAAAGTCACAGAATTTGCGTTGTCATAGCGACAGTAGTGTCCCCTTCAGGAAACTACGTTTTCATTTTCAAAGCAAAACATGCAGTTAAATAGTCAAATATCTTAACTCTTGTTTCTATCACAGGTAGGTTATAACCTCGCTTTTACAGTTTTAGATGTCCTGTGACCTTTAAAGATTTCTGTTCGAATTTTAAAGATACATTTATGAATAGGTACCTGATTACTATGCCAGTTCTTGTTGAAGACCGGTGTTACCGGCATCTTAAATTCTTTAACATAATTTCAGCATTGACAGCACCTGATAAATGCAGCATTCTGGTGATAACCCATTTCATTTAGTTTTCAGTTAGAAACTCTAAAAATCACATTGGTGATTCTGTTTTATGTGTACAAATCTCAATCAGCAGTGTGGCTATTTGGGCAATGTTGTGGTAAAATGGATTATGAATGACTTGGGGACCACATAAACCAGTTTGAACAGTTGACTGGACCTGCAAAGATCTAAGACAAATTGAACATGTGTGAGACGTGCTTGACAAGCAGATCTGACAAGCAGGGCCTACCTCACAACTTCCAGGACTTGAAGAATCTGCTGTTGATACTGTCCATGTCAGAGGCCATACCCATGTTGTGCCTTGTAGTTGTAGGTCAAATTTAAGCTGTAATGGTCAGTTACTGGAGTGAAAATGAGTGAAGTGTACAAATGTAAACACAATCAACACAATCAAGCTTTGATCAAGTAATCAAAGCTAACACAATAATTTTGTCTTCTTTCAGTAGTTTCTTTATTTCCACTACCTTGTTTATCATGGAGAGTGATGAACATTTGAATGACTTGCGGCTTCAGTTCCAAACGTTGCAAAAACAGCAGGAAAAACGAAAACTGGAAGGGAAGAAGAAGAAAGAACCCAGTGATTTAAGTGTGACAGGCACTCAGGATGATTTGAATCTGTCGAAACAAGTCGTTCAGGAAGACAGTCCTGAAGAAAGGTAAGTGGTTTCACTTGGTCTCGGTTTAAATAAAACTGTATTGTTTAACTCAAAGCTTAAGTAATATATAAATACATAAATAAATAGTCATAACATGATGATGCTGTGTCGTCTGTCATTCGAAGTCTGTTAAAGGAGCAGGATGAAATTCTGTTAGACCAAATTCGAGAGCTCAGAGATGAAAATGGGAGGCTCTTCAAACTTCTGAGTGAAAAGGACTTTGAGATCAAACATCTGAAGAAGAAAAGAGAAGAAGAAAGACTGGCCTTAACAGGTACAAGCAGACAACTTGGATGTATTTTACATACAAGAGTCAATGGGGCTTCACTATCGTCTTGTGAATTATCCCTTTAGGTTCATCAGGTTTAGCCGGAGCTGTAGCTGCCACCAAGATTGTTGAGCTTTCCAAGAAGAATAGAGAGCTAAATGCAGAAATTGAGAAAGAGAAGATTAGATCCAAGCAAAGCAGCAATAGGATCAGAGAGCTCGAGAAAGAGGTAAAGCACTGTTTGTTTGATTTATTGGATGGAAAGTTGAAGTTACAGGTCAAAACCCACAGAAAGCAACATTTTGTTTAGCTGCAGTGTGCTTTGGAGAATGTTGTACCTGGACAGAAAACCACACAAAAAACCCTGGATAAAAGCTCGTCTGAAGACCATGAGGTAAACAGAAACTGAGTAATGCATTCTCTTGATTTGAAACCTGACATGATAGCATTTCATTTTAAATCACATACATTTTTCTACTGAGCAACAGGAAAACCCGCTGGTCAAGTCTCTGCAAGAAAAACTAGCAGCTACCCAGCTCAAAGTGACAGAATATCGAAACCAGGTTCAGTCTGCAAAACAGGAGCTGAAGGTTGCTCAGAAGGTAATCTCATTATTTCTTTTCCACCTGACAGAGCTCTAATTATGCTTATTTATGACTTCTTAATTGGATTTTAGGGCCTTTCAGCTGAAGGCCCGGTATTCTCTGGCTATCAGAAATGGGACTGTGTGTATTTTCTTACCACACAAGCTGCATTTCGAAGATAAGTTTGAAAAGTGAGACGAATAAAAATAACCTTGAAGGCCATTTACACATAACCTGGAAATTATATTTTTGAGATGAAGTCTTTAATTTTATAAGGATATCCTGGCCAAGACTGATACAGCAACCTCCATATTTACTGTCATTAGTGGTATATAGATTATTTGATTCCAGAAGCATAGTTTGGTTTTCTTACTTAGTTTCCTTGTTAAATACACATACTTCTTACTGCCCTACAGAAATAACGCACAGTTTAAAAACAAAACAAAAAGGTAAACCATAATGTCCATAATGTAGACTTTATTTACTTCATACCTCATCAACATTATGTATTTTTAATGACATGTTGATTGATCTGTTTTTATTCTATATATTTATGATGATACTTTTTTATTATTATTTATTTATTTAATTATTGGAGGCAACAACATTTTTATCATTAAAAGTTTAATGATAATAGAGTATGTCTATGTCTACTCTTAAAATGATGAACGATTGCAGGTTTTATTGAGTGAAGTTGGAGAGGAGGTCAACCTTCAGCAGATGCTCAACAACCCTAGGAGCTTTAGAGGCCGGTCGCAGCAGATTCTTGCTCTTCAAACAAGGGTAAGCTGGAAAACTTAGATGGTGACTGAATGTCCTTTATGTTGTCCATCATTCATTATGAAAACTTATTTCAAGAAGTTGGTTGGTTCTCAGGATTATGATTGTGCAGGTGCCTCTCTATCAAAAAAAGAACATCACTGAGAAGTTTCTGGTTCAGGAGTGTCTTAAAAAAAGAAATATGACAGTTGCGGGTTGGTTGTGCGAAAGCTATGTCTACTATGATCAATAGAAATAAACAGTCGAGATATAATACTCTGCGTGTCATCAGTCTATATCTGGGTTTCTGGGTTTTTGAACTGAATTCCTGAAACTAACTGAATTTGATGTTGATGATATTCCAATTTCAGTTTGATGCACCTGAAAGTTATGTCACAGAAAATGCTGAATTCATACAACAGGTACGGGAGCTAGAGCAGCAGCTGTGTCATCAAAGACAGGCAGATGTCCAGAGTGTGGAGCAGGATTTTTCTGGCACTGCGTCCCATCATAAACCCCCTGCCCAAAATAGAAACCTCAACTACATCCGTACCATAGAGAAGGAAAAGAGGGAGGCATTTGAGGTACTTAAACAATAACTCAGTTTAAAAACAAAATGAAATATTACGGTACAAATCTTTTACTTGTTTTGCTTGTTGCTTTTGGTAAATCTATAGAGGATCTCAGCTGATCATGAAGGCCTCTTGAAAGAACACGAGGATGTGAAGAAAAAGCTAGAAGCCTCCAAAGCCAGGAGCAGAACTCAGTCCGAGGAAATCAAAACTCTGAAAATGCAGATTTCCTCCTTATTAGAGAAGGGGAAACATGACACCGGGCTTGTGGATGCCCTGCTGGTAAGCCCTTAGATAAGATAAAAGTGGGAAAGAGAGAAATATTCTGGGCCCTTCCTTTCCCACAACCTTGTTTGGTTAACCCCTGCTAGAAACAACAGAGCCAGATGCAGATGATGCTAAAGCAACTCGGCCAACAGCAGAGCGCACAGATCAAGAGTGGGTCCCCAGAGAACAACTGTCTTATCCAGAAACTGAAGCTCATGGTAGCAGAGAAAGACGCCATGATAAAAGAGCTGCAGGAAAGGCAACAGTTTTCCAATAAGGTAAAAAAAAAAAAAAAAGCAGAAATATTTAGTGCTGTAGCAACCACTGTAAAGCAAATCTGCCTGCTGGAAATAAAAAAATCTGTTTTCACAGAAACTGAAGGAAGAGAGTGTGGACAGACAATTAAGCCCTAAAATAAAAAGTTGCCGTTCAGGATTCTACCCAGAAGATGGAGACAGTGTCACAAGAATTACACCCGAGTATGTTTTCGGACATATCTGAATTATTTTATTCTTTATATTCTTATTTTATTCATTTATTAAGAGGATCATAAAAACTACCCTCTGAAACATAATGCATTTTGTTTTGTGGTATAAAGTGCATGTTTTGGTAAACTCTACTAGGAACTAAGATCACTTGTTTTACAAAGGATAACAAATAACTGACTGAAAGAGGTCAATGACCGAAGAAGCAAGAAGAGTAAAACATTTTATGATTTCTCATATTTTTATCTGTTTCAGTTCAGTCTCTAAATTAGGCCATAAATTGGTAATTGCAACTGTGGGAGGTGAGATGGAATTAAAGTAAGTGAGCTGTATCATATATGTTTACATGATTCATCTTATTTTTAACTGTCAGTTATTATCGCATCAATGTAAATTAATCAAAACTATGAACTGTTTGATTGTGTCTGATGTTCTCAGAAGTCATTCAAAGTGTCCGGGTTGTTCTGCTGATGTGAGTGCACTGATCACCCAGAGCAGTGCGTATAAAGTCCTGAGCGTGGAGAAGGACCGCCTCCTGGAGCTGGTTAAGCTTCTACAGATCAAGTAATGCACACTCTACAAATCTTTCTGTTTGCCAGAAAACTTTAAATATACTGAAATAAGAACATTTAACTTATTTCAGTTAAATATCCTGGAACTCAGTAAAGTTAACTTTACTGATTTCCAGTGAAATACTCCCGGCTCTCCTACACCGTTGACATGGATAGAACGTGCTTCTACAAGGAACAAACCAAATGAATGTGGACTCGACTCTTGATTTTTTTTTTTTTTTTATTGATTTTAATCCAAATCTTGGCTGCGATCTATTCAAACATTCACAAGAATGCTATGGGTCATTTTCACATCTTTCAGGTTATAATAGTAAATCTATGGTCCAAGGTTTAATAGTGTAAATGATAGAATCACTATCTATTACATTGGATTGAAGTGCTTCAGATGATTCCCATAGACAATAATTTTATTGTTGCTTTAGATGTCCAAAGAGAAAGCAATGAAGTGTGTGTATTAAGAAGTTATTTAACTATTTTATCTAAGACAAAAAGAAAATGTTTATCTTCCAGAGAGAAAGAAATGAAACAAGTGTGTTTGGAGGCAGAGAAGAAGTATCAAGAGGAGCGCCGTAAAACCTTGATATTGGAGCAGCAGTTACAAAGGGCATGAGCAGATTCAAAGTAAAGGACTCTGCATCGAGCACGGGAAGGATAAGGACCAGTGTGACCAGGTGGCCGTTCTGCTAAAAAAAACTGTTTTCCAAGGGTTCAAATCCAAGGGTTCCCAGGGTTTTCTAGCATACCCTTGTTCAGCTCAACCTTGTCTGTCTCACTCCATGACTGTTCCTCAGGAGAAATAGGGCAGGAGCTACAAGGCAGAAAGAAATAAAGCAAAACAGACAAACAGATCAATCTCTGGAATGTGAATAATTTTTACCTTGCCAACAATCTTATGGTGTTGTGAGCTGCTCCTGATGTTAAACATGACAGTGTTTTTTTCTCTTCATCCCATGGAAATTTAACCACACAGCAAACTTAATGATGTGTGGCAATAGTCTCAGCTCCCATGCACAGGGTTAGCTTCTGCCCATCATCTTTTGGTTGTTTATGTTGCTCTTGTTCGCTGTCTCCTGTCTGGTCATTCAGCTGGAGGAAACGCAGTCTCTGAGGGCATCCCAAAAGAGCACTCTCCATCACGGGGTTCCGGTTTATTGGGACGGGATGAGAAAAATCGGGGATTTTTTTTTTTTT